GTGTGTGTGTGTGTGTGTGTGTGTGTGTGTCCCTGAGCTGCAGAAGAGGTAGGTAGGAGGTCTGGGGGTGCAGTGGGCTAGTGTCCTGGAATAAACAGGATTTTGGGCAACAGATCTCCCCTGTCTCTGTCCTCAGCTGACCCAGAGTTCACAGTCTCTTCCTGTCCCCTTCCCTCAAAACCACTAGGCCCCTGAAGATTTCCTCCTGGGAGGGAAAAGAGGGAGAGGAAGCAGGTGGTATGGGGCTCTGAACTCTGAGACTCTGTTTCAGCCACCATTCCTCACACCCCCACCTGAATCCACCGCAAATCCCCACGAAGCCGTCACCCAGCCTAAATTCCTCCCTCCTCCATGTGTCAGTTGTCTCCTGTGGTCTGGTGAGATCATTGCTGGGTGACAGCGGCCCAGAGCAGGACGCCATCCCGGAGGGTGGGGGCCTGTCTCATGCCCGGCCTCCTGAGATGTCTGCAAGGTGCCGGAGGGACGTCCTGTGCCTGGCGAGTTCCAGGGCAGGCAGGGAGGGATGTCCTCCGCCAGGTTCCAGGAAGGCCTTGGCAGGCAGTGCAGGCCTGGGCTGCAGGGCCTCAGAGGGTGGGACTGGGGGACAGACCCTGGCTGCAAAGCGCCTCATCTGGGCTTCGTGCCCCCAGGCGCATGTGCTGGCACCACCGGTGTGCTGGGTCACCAGAGATGCGGAGATGGCCTCAGCCACGGACCCGCCTTCTGGCACTCTCCCTACACGTGCTGTCACCCAGCCAGCCCTCACCAACCTCTGCTCCAACCTCCAGCCTGATGCTCCACATCTGTTCTTGGTATCTGGGGTCAGTGACTGCTCTGAAGCCGTGAGCAGGACACTCCTGAAAGGCAGCCCCCCTAGTCCTGTTCCCTGCAGAACCCCTTCCCTCCTGGCACAGACCACAGACATGACTGAGCTCCTCCCACTGCCCACCGGGACCCTCCCCATCCCCCAAACTCACTCCGCAGGTGGGTGAAAATTTGACTGCTTCCTCCCCTTCCCTGTTCTCACTCTCATCTGCTACCAAAGTCTGCACACCCTCCCCTTAGTTGTTTTTATTTTAAAATGTATTGGGTGTTTTTTTTTGTTTTGTTTTGGTTTGGTTTGGTTTTTTGAGACAGGGTCTCACTATGTAGTTGAGACTGATCTGGAACTCACTATGTAGCCCAGGCTGGGGTCAAAATCACAGTGATCCTCCTGCCTCAGCCTCCCAAGTGCTGGGATTACAGGCGTGCGCCACCACGCCTGGCTTGTATTGGGTGTTTGTTACTTTTCTCATGCACTCCTTCCTCTCCAGTGCCCTACATTTCACCTTAGGCCCAAACTGCCACGCTCTTTCTCACTCAGGTTTTTCCTTCCTCCTATACACCCTGCTGGAATCTTTCTCAAACACCATTGCGAGTGCATGTGTGTGATCAACTTCAGACACACCAGCTGCTAACCTGTGTGCTCCCTATGAAGGGACCTGGGTTTATTCATGGTGTGCTCAGACCACTGAGTCTGGCACAGTGCCTGCTGTGCAGCAGGAGGGCAGCAAATATTCCTGAAATGGCTGATCCTTTGGTCACATTCCCTCTCACCCTTCCAATTGTCTTCTGACTTGGTCTCCCCTTTCTCACCAAAGCTGTTGCCCTGCTGATGTTCACTTGGGCCCTGTTCATTTTCTCACCATTTTTAGTGGTAGTCCGGGAAAGGAGTGACCCTGGCTCGGGGACCCAGTGCAAAATTCGCCTCCCACAGGAAGGCTCTGGTAAAATCTCCACTTCATCCGATCGGTTTGTCAACTTACCCCTGAGCCTGGTGAACGACCTTCAATCTTTTTCTGTTTTATCGTTTAATTGTGCCCCGTAGTATTTTCATAGGTCATCAGCTCCTCCTTCACAGCAGGGACAGTTTTATACCCTATTTTATTTTAACGAGGAGGCACCAGGTAGGGCACTCAGACCCACAGAAAGCTGGCCTGGATCCTGGTTCTAACGCTTCGCTGTGGGCTTTGGCTTAGCCTCTTCATTTCTCTGGAAGCCAGTTTTTTCCATGTGTAAAAAGTGCTAGGGATATCTGCCTTGCAGACTCAGCAACAAACACACTCACAAAGCCCTACCAAGTGCCAAGAAAGTTCCTGTTGCATGAGAAGCAAACCATTGTCTTCCTTCCTGGGCCGGGGCCTTCCCTGAATTGGGGGACTCGAGTCTTTTCTCGAAGCACTGCCCATTCCAGGATGTTTCACGCACCAAAAGGGTCCTTATTAACTGCACGGGTTCCAAGATATGGCCTGGGATTCATGGCCACCCTACCCCGGTTCACGAAAACCAGCGAGGGCACGCTGTATCCCGGGGCCTAGGCGTGCAGCCCAGTTTAAACGCTGAATGAACGGGCGAAAACGCCGCGTTTCTCGGATATCAGAGCAAAGGCGGATTGAAAAGCCCGCCCCCGCCGCACCCAGCCCCACG